ACAATGGAGAATTCCACAGCCCCTTTGATTCAGAGCAAGGTAAAACCAGGCTAAAGCAAAGGGCTTACAGTTTTCAGACAGGTGGCCTTTGTAAACACCCATGTTTGCATATATGGGAAACCTCATAAAGGAAAAACCCTTGGTATCTTGAAAAGGAAAATACACTAGCAATAGGCAAATTATTTTGGATATGTTGCTCAGATCCAAGTACTGAAGGCCCCATTCTCCTCTGTGTAGTTTTTTATTTCAGATGCAGATTAAGTGTTTTGACTCTATGCCTCTTGAAAACTTTCTGGAGAGGTTATAAATGGTAAAGCACTAGCCTTGAACTCTAGGAACTTATTTCTCATAATGCTTTGTGTCTTAAGCAATCAGTTACTCCTGAGAATGCCGTTGTGTAGGGTACATTAAAAGTACATATGGCCAAATCTTGCAATTTGCCTGTCTTTGACACAGCCTTCCTTGTGCCACTAGTGTGCTGCCTATGAGGGCCAGGAAATGGGGCAAGGGGCAGAACATGACTTTAAAAAATTTCACGTACTAAAGCAAAATCAAAAGTAACATACGCAACTTGTTAATGAGGTAGAATTCCCAGATTGATTCTATTTTTGAAAAGAAAAGAAAGAAAGGAAGTTTTCAGCGAACTTTCTGTCTGCTGAGAAGCGCTTGCTTGTCATTTTCTTCCTTGCTTCATGAAGAAAGTGAAACCCACAGGAGATTTTCAAGCGGATATTCCAGTTTGCCATTACTGGAAAGCAACTTTACCACTGAAAATGTCTTTTTTAGAAAATAAAAACTTGAAAACCTCCTCTAGCAGGTGAAAATTCTGGTTCAAAAATGCTCACAAACTCTCTCCAGTGCTGACACCCCAGTGATGCTGGGAGCTGGGTGGAAAAGTGGCTCCACAGTGTCTCCTGGCAAGAAGAGCAAGGCCAGAAGTTTCTCTTACTCTATCCTTTTCCATACAAAGTCCTTTCCCCTCACAAAGTTCGTGTTTCGTATTGTGAAAGAGAACAGGGGATGTCCCCTCCCAACCCTTTCTCCTGCTCAGCCCTCTGTGCTGAGAAATCACCCCAAAGAGGTGCACAGACTAACCAACACATTGCATCAGCCTGTGCAACTTCAGCCTTGTCCAAGCAGATTTAGACCTGCTGCTCTGTAGCAGCATAACTGTGCTTTGGAGAATATGGTGGTTTTACCAGTCCAGTTTAGATAAATAAACAAGGGAAAGGAATTTCTTTGCCCTGATATACATGACCTCTATTTTGACATAGCTGCATCCACAGTAGCCATTCTGTTGGTGTAGTTTTATACCAGGAGGAAGACATCACAGTCATATATAGCCCATGCATAGAGCAGGCTTTTGCGCAAACAGTGCTACCCTGAGCAGCTGACATGAGTCTGCACTGTCCCTACAGCTACCCCACAGCTGAGGCACCGCATTTCCCCTCCGTGCACGGAGCAAGGATCCTTCAGCACAGCACTCAGTGACGCTCTGAGTACATCTTTGCTGGGAAATTAAACAGTTCCTGGTCCCTTGAGCACAGTTATCTGTGCTGTTTCATTGCTGCAGTCATTCCTGCCATGTTTGTTTTCCCCTGACTCACACGGCAGGTAACAGAGACTGCCAGGCCTTAGCAGCCAAGTGAAAGAAGAGCTCCATAGGAGGGAAGGGAGCAGAGAGGATCCCATGAACAGAGGGTGATGGCCGTTTGAGCTCTGCTTTGCTTCCCACCTGAATGCTGCCTCAGGGGGCATCTGTCTTAGCACAGTGGCAGACCCTGTGCACTCAAAACACTGCAGCTGCATCCCCAGCAGGGCGTCTCTGTGCTGCCGGTATGGGGCTCATGTCTCCTCCCTCAAATGATGGATGTTTCAGTTGTAATAGGGGTCTTTATTCTGTGCAAGCATCTCAAAGCACTGTACAAAAATAGCTCTCCATCTTACAGACAAGCAATCAGACTTACGGAGGTAGGAAATAGCTTTGCTCACCTCGGAGGGTATTTTGACATTCCCCCCCACCACAGTATCCTCTGAACTTCTTGCCCACACAACCAGAGGCCCCTACTTTCCTAAGGCCCTGCAAAGATTAAGTGACCCTGGTCCAAGGTTGCACAGGAAGTCTGGAGGGAGCACTGGAAATAGAAGGGGGCCCTTCTGAGTCCCTGGGCAGCGCCCTGACCACCAGACCATCCTTCCTCTCCCAAGGTCATGCTTCGTGTCTGCAGCAGAGCCAGGAATAGTACCCAAGTTTCCTGACGCCTAGGCCCTAATGCACAAAGTGCATATATCAGTTTAAAGAGATGCATAAACACATCTTGCAATTAAACCTAAGGCATTCTGAGCCCACCACTTGCTATATTTTGAAAGCTGTGTGTGCCTCACTTCAAAAATCCCCCTCTACAAATCTGAGTGCCTGACAAATACTGTCCATGTCAATCTTGGTGAAAAACTTGCAGGATGCCACTACTCACCACCAAGATGCAGGTTTGCAGGTAGGACATAACCTGAGGGTGCCTCCTCCGGCTCCCATCCCAGGGATGAGCCTTGGGGTGGGACAGACGTGTGCTTTGCACTGTGTGAGTGCATGCTGCAGCCCTGGGATGTGCTGCGTCAGGAGGGGCACAGTGCCACGTGTCCCAGAGCTTGTTGGAGCCTTTCCAATAATTTTAATGGGTGTTGGATCAGGCCCTGAATTCTCAGCTGTCCCAGCTAAACGGCCTCCCCACACCAGCTCTCCTCTCTTTTCAGACCAAGGAGGCAGGAGACTCTGCCAACAGGGGGGTTCCTGCTGCTTTTGGGCAGCCAGCTGGCCTTCTCCTCACACGCAGGGCCAAGCAGAGTGGAACCCACAGCCACCTGTATGGCTTCTGCATGCTGCCTAGGTCATCCTTTTTGTCCTCCAAAGGTGATGGGTGCTACAATGCAGAGTGAGGATCCATTGCTCCTCACTGCATGCCTCAATTTGTTCACCAAGATCCCCAGTATACACATGCAGTTTCGGAGAACTTAGTGCAAGAAATAAATCCCGCATGAGGCAAAAGCCCCAGCCATGCTGGACAGGAACTGGAGAAGCTATTGAGATTATCTGTGAAGCTATGGTTGCAGAAAGAGTTTCAGAAGGACAAAGCCCCATTCTCCCCTTTTCCCACAGTGTCTTTTCCTCACCAAACTCAGCATATCCAGTAACTGGCACATGGAAACAATCTCAGCTTTTTGAAGTTGTCTTATCTTTACATGAAGTTGATTACATGCTGATGCTGTGCCTCCTCACCAGAGCAAGGGGCTGCATGCTTCTCCAGACCTTTGCCTGGCAGTACACTGTATACTACTTGAGTTGGTGCTGGAAGCATAACATTATCACAGAGGCCCTCAGCCGTCAGTGATTTCTACCCGTTGCTGCTTTTTATACAGAAGTAGCATTAAGAAGTCCCAGCCAAGACACTGGCGCTGGCTGTGAGAAATGCTGCACATCACAAGAGACAAGCCTGTCCCCAGAAGTCTTAGGAACAGGAAGTAACAAATGAAGTGTTTTTCTCAAGATTTGTCCAGTTTGTGAGTCTGCATTGCTTTGAGCACCCTATTGCCATACACACTGTCATGCCTGGGTCACTATGAGATTTATTGACTGATTATTTGGCAGGTGTTATGTCAGCCTTCTGCTTCTAAATACTGTTCACACCATCACAGAACATATCACAGTGACTTCATGTTGCTTTCCTCATGAAAACCTTACCTAAAAAGACACTTCGGGATAAATGAATAGGATATACTTTATTGGGTCACTGTTGGGGAACTGATCTTGTTTAAGGGTTGGCTCAGTGACAAGACCCTATAAATGGACAAGCCCCTGCAGTCAGTGCGTGTTTTCTACTGACCCCATATAGAAGTTCTAGTTGTTCTCACATTTTTGTACTCTAAAATAAGGTAGGTACATATATAATTTATAGATCACCAGTTGCCAATTGCTTGATTGTATGTGCTATCGCATGCTTTTGCTTTGGGGATAGAATTCACCTCTGCTGAATAGAATGGAAACAGACTATTTTCATCATCTCCCAGAAGCCACAGGGTGTAATCCACAGTAACTGGGGTGGAACCCACTTTAATGGATTAAAAAAACCACTATTTTTCTAGGTTTTCCATTTTTTTTCCTGGGATGGAAGAACACTTTGCATGTTTCTGAATTATCTCTGCTAATTAACAGGCACACCATAAAGGAGAGTTCATCAGGGCAAACTAAATTGGGAAATGGCCTGAGCATTCAGCACCAAAACAGTGGATGGGATCACACATTGTCCCACTATTATGGCAGCAGGCACCACGGGCAGAGTTGAAGCCAAAGATACTCGAGGCAGATGTCATAGTCAGGAGAGTTGTGGCCATTAGCCAACTCTGTGTCTTCCTATCCTGAAAAGGGAAGGGCCATGCACAGGCTTGAGTGGCTGGGGAAGCACATGTCCTATGGGTGGGCACTAAGGATCAGAGCCAGTGGGCCTCAAATGTCCCTGGACTGCAAGCATTTGAAGTTGCAGGAAACACAAAGCTGAGTCAGGACAAGCCCCATGCCTGCATTGCAATGGTGTGCATTTTTATTGCTCCTCCTTGGGAAGTGATGCTGCATGTGTTTATATATATATAGTCTAACATGACTGAGCAAACATTACTCAAGGTTTTTACAGATGTTTGCCTTTGGGTAAGAGAGAGCACAGCCATGGGTTTAATAGTTGAGAAAGTTAGGAGGGGAGGGGAGAGGTCTACACACAGCGAGTTGTTCCCCACTCTTTGTGATGGACCTCAGTGCTATCCCATCCCTATCCATGAGTCCCCAGAAATGTGTCAGACCTCTTGTTGTAAGGTTTAGTCTGGTTCATCATCTGCTGTGGAATAAAAGTAGCACTCTGGTTATCATTAATAATATTTATTTTGGAAAAATATTTTAAAAATGAATTTCTTCATTAACAAAACGGTAAAAAAAAACTCAAATAACATTTGCACAATATTCCATAAATACATTTATATACAAAAAATATAGTCACATAGACCCGAAGTGCCTTTGTACATATTTACCAAAAAATTTAAATTATAAAAAAATGAACATCACAAAATACTCAAGCTTTACAATTATCATGAAAATATTTTTACAGATTCAAAAAAATAACACACTTTTTCTCACCTAGTAAAAACACATTTTAGTATCAAAAAAGACAATAAAGGCAGTGTTTCTGTCTCTAATTCAAGAAAAGACTGGCTCATAAGAATCCAAAATATACACTTCAGGCAGTGCATGCTTCTTATGTAGTAATTAAGTCCATTCATTTAAATATATATAGAAAAGCAACTGACCATAGTGCAATGATAAAATTCATAAAAGGCAGTGCAACAGTAATCCTTGAACACAGACCCTTGCCTGGTGTCCATCTTGTTTCTCTATTTTGCAGTCACTTTGCTAACTTCAGTAGAGAACCAGCTCAAGCCTGAATTTAGTTTCTCAGCAGCAGTCAGTGAAGGAATCTAGCTCTCATTCCTCTTTCAGCAGCATTCATTGGGGCACGTCTCCTTTGAAATTGTTCTGAACAAAAGCTTTGCCATATCACGTCTGTTTTACACCTGTTGAGAGAAAACACGAGCAGAGACCAGAAGAGGTTAATAAAAAGAAAGCAGAGGACTATGAGGATACAGAGAGTTGGAACTTCACCTCAATGCCAAGCCAAAGCAGGCTCTGCAGGAAGCATATGAAAGAATGAGTCTGTAGGGTTAGTAGGCTACAACTGCACTGTAGTTATACCCATGCTGCAAAAATTGCTGTCCCTGTAACCCCCACTGGAGCTTATCTTAATCTACAAGTTTTTTCAACATCTGCAGTGCCACAGACTGAAGGTGGCCATGTTTCAGTGAGTACAGATGACTGTAGCAGCAGGTAGAATGGTTTGGCTGTCCTGACCTGCTTTGTATGGGGATCACACACCAAGACTTGTCCGACTGCCAGGTGGGATACTAACCTCAGTTGCTATGATGCACTCATCTTTCTCTTCTGATATGACGTACACCGACTGGTACTTTGTGTCCTTTGAAGTGGAATATACTGAATCTGGCCGTTTTCTTTCAGAAGTGTCGCTACTGAAGACAAAAACAAACAACACAGATCAGGTGGCTGTTACTTTACACTGCCTTTAAGTGACACACACACCTTTCAGAGTAAAGCCACCCCCTGCGCTCGAGTAAACACAATACCTTTTTAGCTGTACTGCACTTTTCTCTTCTGCCTCTGAATCATACGTTTCACACTTGGCTTCACATTTGCCATGCTCCTCTTTCACAGAGTCCTCATTCTTGAGTTCATGCACCAAATTGTAATCCACTGATGGGTATCTAACTTTGTAGCCATTTTTATCGGAGTTGTCGCTGTGAAAGTCCACTTTCTTATTTGTGTTTTTAATCTGAGTGGCACCGATGACGCTTATGGAGATGTCCTTCTCGCGCTGGCAGTTCGCCAGGTTGTTCATGGTCTCCGTTTCGCTCCTGCAGGCCTCGGGCTGGTGGTGCCTCTTCTGCACCTTCAGCCTGACGCAGACAACGATGGCGGCGCAGCCCAGCAGCAGCATGAGGACCAGAATAATCCCGGCGCACACTGCGATCCAGGGGAACTGGCTGTTCTGGCCCTCCGTGTACTTCTCGGTGAAGTCGACGATGACCGGTCCCTGAGGCGGCTCGGGGAGCAAGAACTGGCAGTTGAGGCCGCCGTAGCCCCGAGCGCACTCGCACACGTAGCGGTTGCTTCTCTCATGGCAGGTGGCCCCGTTGTGGCAGGGGTTGTGCTCGCATCTGCTCACCGGCGTGCTGCAGTTCTTCCCGTTGTATCCCGGGGGGCAGGTGCAGGAGTAGTCGTTGACCCCATCCTGACAGGTCCCTCCATTGACACAGGGGAAGGAGGCGCAATCGTCCACGTTGTCGTCACAGTGCCTGCCAGTGAAGCCAGCCTGGCACTGGCATATGTAGGAGTTCCCCAGATCAACGCACTGGGCTCCTGCAAGATGTGAAGGGGACGAAGGTTGAGCGGTGTGTGCTCAGACCCTCCCCTCAATACACCCCAACTGCTGCTCTCAGGACCGCTGTCACAACCCAGCGCTGAAAAAAGCTACTGTTTTGGGAGGCCACCTCCATCTTTACCAGATCTGAGCTAAGACAAAAAGTACCTTTTTTAAAAGAAAGGTATTTCTTAATCAAATATATTTTTCATTCAGCATCCCATTCCCTTTTTGACATTTCATCTAGCTGGGACTATGAAGCTAGTTCAGATCAGGTTCGCACCATGATCTCACATTACAGAGTTACAGTGACGATGAATGAGGAGGGTTGCAATAAAGAAAGTTTTAAATACTTCAATCAAAACAGGAAGATTGCAATTGCTGGATTATAATTAATCATACTCAGTGTTTGTATGGCCTCAAAGAGTCGTTATAAATATAATCCTCCACGCCTATATGCATGAAGTTTCAGGCCAAGTTACACAGCTACAGTAATCCCTTAAGAAAACACTATCTGAAGTGCTGACCCATACCACATCATTCGTTTTTAAGTACAATTCCTCCATGGAGTCAACTACTGACACGACATGGTCTAAGATTTATCACTGGGCCTCATTATGAGCCCTAGACAAGAAGCCAAAGTGACTGGATGGTCTCCTTTTAGAATGTCACCATAGTATGTTTGGCCTTACCATTAGCACAAGGGCTGGAACTGCAGTAATCGATTTTCTTTTCACAGTTGAACCCAGAATAACCCAGTGGGCAGCGGCAGCTGTATCCACCATCAGGGTTGTCAGTGCATCGCCCTCCATTGAAGCATGGTCCATCAGCACAAGTCATTGCACTCAGCTCACAGTTTTTACCATAGAAGCCTGGGGGGCAGGTACAGGAATAGCTGTTCTCGAGATCCTGAGGGGAAAACATGATAAATGTCCAAAATATTTACCTGAAGTTGTTTTAAAATACAAAAGAGAACTTCAAAAACAAGCAACTCAAACTTACAGTGCAGCTTCCACCATTCTTGCAAGGGTTGGCATCACATTCGTTGATTTCAATCTCACAGCTGGAGCCTGTGTACCCAGGTCGGCAAGAACAAGTGTAGCTCCCCTGACCAGTGTTGGTGCATGTGGCACCATTCTTGCATGGCTTGTGGTGAGTGCAGTAGTTCAGGTCTGTGAAAGATATAAAAAAAAAAAAAAAAATTATAAAAGAGAGAAATCAGTCAAAATGCTTGCTCATTTGTAAGGCTAGCAGAGCATGCATGAGCTGGAAATAACTGCCCGTTTTCTGCTTTTGGAGGAAGATGTTCAGGCAAAGCCCTAGAACTTACCCTGGTTGCAGAAAAGGCCGCCCCAGCCTTCCTGACAGTTGCACTGCCATGGCTGCTGACAGGTACCATGTAGGCAGCCGGGGTATCGGATGCATTCATCACAGTATCGCCCCTGCCAACCCACTCTGCACCTGGAAAAAAAATAAGAAAAAAAAAAGTCAGCAACAGAGTCTTGTCAGATTTAGGCTTCTCACATTTGGAAACCCTACTGCAAACTCTGCAAACACACTGATGCCAGGTATCAAGTTTCCTAAAAGCCTTCAGTGATCCTTCATCTGAGAAAGTGACCAAATCCAACTGCAGCATCAGCTTTCATCAGCCCCAGCTACCTCTTGCACTTCCTCAGATAGAGCTGTGGTTGCAGGTAGTTAATTTGTTTACTCTAATAACAAACAGCCAAACCTTACGCATAGCGCCGTAAACTCATTAGGTTAATATTAATGGCACTGATGTTTGACCTGTAGATTAATAACTTGATCTGGCATCACCTGGATTGCTTGAATTACTATCTAAGATAAAGAAAGGCGTTTAAGCTGACCCTTGCAGGACCGCTGCTTCCAAGCTAAAGACAAAGAAAGGAGGAAGGGGGGAGCAGAAAACTTACTTGCATTCCCCAGGTTTGTCACAGAAGCCGTGCTGCTCATCACACCCAGGCAAGCAAATCGCTGTGAACAGAGGAAGGAGGGAAGGATTGAGCCTGAAGGCCCACCACCTCCCCCTGCAGAATACCCTCCGGAGAGCACCCTGTGGGTGGGGGGCCAGGCAGTTAATAGCAGCTGAGTTAATCTCTGGAGCCTGCAGGAGTATTGATCTCGCCTGGTAGCCGGGCACTTTACTTATCGCCAGGGATGAGCATTCTTCTTAATACAGTTGCACACAGACAAAAGAAGGCTCACAATTGCTGCCTTCCCCGCAGCCCCTCGCCCCCCTTCCCTTCCCAGCGAGGGTCAGAAGTCCTTTTTTCCAATTCTACGCACATAGCTCCACCTCTTAATATCCCCCGAAAGTGTGTGTGCAGATAAGAGTGGACAGCTGGTGTGCAGGGTGCCAGTGCAAGACAGCTGCTCTATTGTCTATTCTCTCCCAGCAGCTGCCCCGCTGCAACAATACCCCCGGCCCCGGAGCCAATGGGGCCGGTGCCGGCGGCCGGGCAGCCTATCCCTGCCCACGGCTAATCTATGGCACGCGCGTGATTTCGCTGCAAAAACTTTTTTTCTTATTCAAATAAATAAGTCTAAAGTTCTTCCTCCCTCCTCCCCCCCGCTCGGAACAGGGGCGGGCAGCTCCGGGCATGGTGAGGAGGTAAGCGGGCCAGCGGGAGGGAGGAGAGGGGAGGGAGAAAGGGACTTGTGCTCATTACTTTGCCTGGTTATGGAACTCATTAAGCAGGCACTGCAAAGTTTTAATTCAACAAAGCCAGCCGGAGACAATGGCATGCAAGGGGAAGGCGGGGAAGTGGGGAGTGAGCAGGGAGGGTAGGGGGGAGGGGAAAGAAAGAATCGGTGCTGATAATCAGATCGCCTCAAAGTTGGAAAGAATGGAGCCGAGGGCAAGGAGACGGGAAGCAGTCTGCCACTGGGAGCTCGGCTCGCTAACGGGAAGACATTCTTTTCGCATGCACACATAAACACAGCTCGGGAGCCGCGTCCTCCGCACAGCGATGGGCAGCGCCGGGCTGGGCGGCGGGCAGAGCGGTGGTGCGCAGGCATCCCGAGTGCTGACAGCACCGAAAGGGCTCGTTATCAAAGGGCTTCCTCTTCCCTCCCCTTCCCGCCCCCCCGTCCCCCGGCACAGCCGGGACAAGCACTTTTGATCATGGGAAAGGTTCTAGTTCCTATTTAAAATGCTATCAAAGGAAATGAAAGCTCTTTTGCCTGCTGCTTATTGTGCAACATCGTAAGATGAACTGTTAAATGCATCTTAGCAGCCACGAGTAGTGTGAGCAGTTGGTCTGGGCCGGTGATAGCAGCTCAGCTGGGACCACAGTGCTTTATGGACTGTGACTATTCTCTCCCTGCCTGCCTGGAGGGCTCACCCGGTGTCATCTGCCAGCACGCCTCAGTGTGTGCACACAGAATGCCACCACACACCACAGTGAGAGCTGAGTGTCCGTCTGTCTGTACTACACAGCTGTGTATCTACAGAGGGCTCCTCTTGTAAAACCAGCAGTACCTTGCAATCATGACCGCCTGCCCCTCTGGGATGTGCTGACTGCCCCAGCTTTCCCTGCTGTACCAATACATTGCACTCCTCAACAACTTCAAGCTTGGGCTCACTCAAAACTCGTGTCCCATGACCTACTCCTGCTGGTAACAGTGATCACAGCAACGCTACAGGAGAGTGATGGGGAAGAAGCTGAGTGTTTTGGTGACCCCAGATGCACTCCCCCTGGCAGTGGCAGTGTGTGAGCATCCCAAAGAAGAAACATATAGTCTGAAGGCCACAGAGGACATCTTGGATATCCCACTGCTCTTGTCAGTGCAAAATGGGAAGACATCAGGCCACAGCAATCCTACTTCTAGCCCTGCCATGGGGATGCTCCCAAAGCTGAGGTCTTTAGAATCATTTCAGATGGAATGGACCTTTAAAGGTTATCTAGTCTAACTCCCAGGTCCTCTCCTGGAGCCACATACCCATGGATGTGATACATCCCCAAGCAACTGCTGAACATGTTGCCATCAGCTTGGCAACTGAGTGAACGAGTGACGTTGGCGCTGCCATTTTGTTAGCCTGAGATGTGGCTGCTTGAGTCAAGTTTCTGTGCTAATACTGAGCACTGCCTATACCCCACATGGATGAAACCTGAACCTAGCAACGTGCACACCTGCCTAGACCCCTCTCCATGGAACTTGAAGTTAAAGAAACCCCTCCCCCATCCCCACGAGAGCTCAGGGGACACAAAGGGGACACTCACGCTCAGTGCAGTACTGGCCCTTCCAGCCGGGGTTGCAGACTTTCTCGCCACGCTCTCCACAGGTGAAGTGACCAAAGGCATCATCACGGGGCCGGCAGAAGACAGAGCAACCTTCCCCGTAGTAGTGCTCATCACACACAAAGCGGTAGGAGTACTTGAGGTCGGTGCGGCCGCTGCTGTGCAGGTCCTGGGACCACTCCTCACCCACCGCCAGGTGCCTCTGCGTGGCCAGGCGGCTGATGAGGCGCTCGGGGTTTTCTGCATGAGAGCGGAGAGATGAAGGATAAGAGAGCCCGAAGAGGGCAGAGCACGGGAAGATGCTCAGCGGGAGGGAAGCACGGGGAGAAGGGAGCGCAAAGAGAAGGGGTCCGGCGCTGGGCCCGGTACCTGTGGTGAGGTCGTCGGGTGAGTCGGTGTGCAGAGCCTCGATGATGAGCGAGAAGGTGCCCTGGGGAAAGAAGGAGCACAGACAGCCGTGAGGGTGGGCACTGCCGGAGGGGCAGCGCCGCGCCCGGAGCCCGGGATGGGCCCCCCGCCCCAACACTTACGGGCCAGGTGAAGCCGAAGGGGAAGCGGATGGGGTTGCTGAAGGCGGGGTCGGCGCCGCCCGCGCCGTCGGGGACGCTGAAGGAGTTGGCGCCGAGGACGGGGGTGATGGCGCTGCCGTAGGTGCAGGGAGGCTCGGGGGAGACGCTGGCCTGGTAGTGCTTCAGGCAGACGCGGAAGAAGGTCTTGCAGTCGCACTGCTGCAGCCCGGCGCCTCCGGGGCCGCCGCCCCGGCAGCAGTTGCGGTTGCTGAGCAGCCCCTTCTTGTTGACAAACTCCTGCAGCTTCAGCTCGAACACCCCGGAGCCGTCAACCTGCCGAGCACAGCGGCCGTCAGCCCGCGGAGCGGCCCCTGCGCGTCGGGCAGCAACCGGAGGCCCTCCCCGCTCCCTCTGGCCGGGCCCGTCGGGGGTCGGCAAGCGGCACTTACCTGGTATCGGCACAGCAGCGCCGAGAGGAGGGCGAGCGTCAGCAGGAAGCGGCTTCCCATGGCGGAGGGGCAGCGCTCGCGTTCCTGCCCCTGTGTCTTCGTGGGGGGAAAGGAAGAGTGTCTCTCGGGGAAGGAGAAAGAACGGAGGGGCCACAACCGCCCCGCAGAGCCGGAGGGGGTACTGTCCCGTCTCCTGCTTTCAGGAGGGTCTCTGACTGTTATCCCCCTACCGACACCTCTAGGTGCAGCCCGGCGGCGGCTGACAGCTCTTTCGGATGGCAAAAGGAAAAGAAAGAAAAAAAGAGGAAAAAAAAAAAAAAAGTTTTAAGATTAATCTGCTAATCTTGCCCAATCCACGGTGCTCCTCCTCCAGGAAGAAAATAATAACAATTTAAAAAAAATTAAAAAAATTAAACAAAAGCAACTTAATTCCCAACGGAGGCAGAGAAGAGGCTTCCCAAGGAAGGTCACAAATCGGCGCTCTGGCAATCCCTCCGCAGGGGCAGCGCGGGGCGGCAGCGGCAGCGGCGATAATTCCCGGAGCGGTGCGGGGCGGCTCTGCGCGGCTCTGAGCGGCTGCGCTCGCCCTGCGCACGTCGGGGCTGGAAGGTGTCAAGCGGCAGCGGCGGCAGCGGGTCACGTTGGAGCCTTGATCCTTTTTCTTTTTTTTTTTCTTTTTTTTTTTTCTTTTCTTTTTATTGTTTTTATGTTTTTAATTGCAAAAGAAGCTCCCGCTCGTTCGTTGTTGTGGGCTGACTTTTGTTTTGAGAGGAATCCCAGCCAACACAAATAAGCTCGTGTCTCAATAGCGGCGCACGGAGCGTGTCCGGGTGTGCTCCTGCGGGGGGGCAGGGGGTGCCCGCTCTGCGCCGCGGCCCCGCGGCTCTCTCCGAGGGTGAACGCGAAGGATCTGCCTCTCCGTGGGCGCCGGCCTCCCTTATATCCCGCCGGCCGCCCGCATGCCTAATGAGATGCAAATGAGCAGCCCCCCAATCTGGCTGGAGCTGTCACAAAGGAGCCACTTTTCCAAACCCTCCTCTCAATGGATCGCCAAATGGTCAGTGAGCTGTAAAATGTGCAACCCTCCTCCCCCTCCCCTCCGCGCTCACAAAACGTGCTCATTTACATTCCTACAAATTCGGGAACCGCAAGAATCCCCCTTCTGCTACGGGGAGAGGGCGGCACCCCCGCCGCACCGGGCAGCGGCCCCGGCACCTCCGCCGCCACCGCCCCGACAAGCGCCTCGGAGACCGCGGCCGCTGCCGGGGGGCTCCGCGGGGCCAGGGACGGTGGGCGGCAGCGAGCCGCAGCGGTGGGAAGCCGATCCCTTTCCTTTCGCACCGCATTTCCCCCGACGTCGGCGAGATGGGCGGGAGCGGGGGGCGAACGGCGCGACCCCGAGTCGAGTTTGCCCGTCTTCGCGCTCCGCTCGCAGCCCCCGTCCCGGCAGCGGAGAGGAGGCCCGCGGGGTCCCGGCGGGGCCTGCCGCCCCCCCCCGGCCCCGGGAGCGCCGCCGGGAGCGGTGAACGGGGGCTGCGGGGGTTACGGCTCCCGTCTCCACGAGCACCGCCGCCGGGAAGAGCTCCCCTCTCCGCCCCGGTCCTGCACCCCTCTATGATTATTATCATCATCGCCAGCAACCTCGGCCTCTCTCCCTCTCTCTCTCTCTTTCTCTCTCTCTTTTTTTTTTTTTTTTTTTTTTTTTCCTGCTTCAGCTTAGTAAAAAGTGAGTTTGGTGTGTGTCGTTCGCGTGGCTGTCATTAAGGCCGTTTGTTATTGTGTGAGGGCTGAATCAGTTAGCTCTTTGTGCTCTCAGCTGTATGGTAATGTAGACAGCACCTGCTCCCTGCACAATGCGAGGGAGAGAAAGAGCTCCCCTCGGCGCACGCTGCTGCCTCTACAACAATGTCCGCACATTTTTTAAAGAAATCCCTTCCAGCACTTCCCCGCTCCGTGGAGGGAAAAAAAAAAAAAAAAAAAAAAAAAAAAAAAAAGGACGACTTTACCCCAACCGTCACCTTATTATTTTTTTACATATCCGTCAGACACTGGAACTTTTGTTCTGGTCGTAAAAACATCGCGAGGAGTTCGGTGGCGAGGAGATAGAGCGGTAGGGACGATTTCCCTTCGAGCATCTCCCCAGTGACGGATGCGATCGGGGATAAAAGTTTTGCGGGCGGCTCTGGCACGGGGTCTGCCGCTTTGTCGGGCCCTCTACGAAACACCTTCGGCCTCGGGTTCATTAGGATGCAAGGTGTAACTGTCTCCCTAAATGTCATTTTAATTGTAACAGAGCATTTCAGCGCAGATTAAGCTGGTGTGCGAAAGGAGAGGATTTGGCTACAATAACCTCACTGTAGGTATGCCGTGCTCAAAGCCTTATTATGGCGACTTTATTGGGTGGGAACGTGCATTTGCATGGCGAAATGTGACTTTCATTGAAGCAGATGTCTTGATCACAAATTATGTTACAATGCGCTAGGAAAAAAAAAAAATCTTAAAGACTCCTTAAAGTAAAAGCATCGGGTAATACCAATTAAAAGAAAATCGCTAATGAGCCCATTCAGCTCCGTTCACTGCCTGCTCCTGGACCTCCGCTGCCCACGCGGCTGTGCAGCCTCGGGATCCAGGCGGGCACTGCCTTCTCTCCTGTAAACCCAGCTCCGCTCCAGCCAGCCACCTGCACGCAGGTACCCGAGGAGAAGGCTGTTTTCCTCCGTCCCGGTGCTCGCAGGCTGCTCTGTGCCGGAATGTTTGCGTTTCCCCGTGCCTGGCCCGAGGATGCGGCCGGGGGCGAGGCTGGGTTGTGCCCGGCGGCGGAGCGGAGAGGGCGGCTGCTGCGGCCCCAAGCGCACATTGCTTTTGCCACCTAGCGACAGTGCCGCTCCGCCAACTTGGCTGCGGCGTTATCCTCGGAAAGGGGAGGAAGAAAAAAACAACAACAACAAAAAAAAAAAACAACAGCACATCCAGCATCCCTCTGTATCGGGTTTACCAACCGAGTGGGGTGGAGGGGTGGCAATATCTGAGATCCGAGGGCGGATGGATCTGCCGAAGATCGCTAAGGATCTTTTAGCCTAGGAGAGGTATAGAAAGTTGGTCCGTGAGCATCCCCTTGCTTAAGAAAGTGGAAATAAAAAGTTCCACGCGCGAGGGCTTTCACCCAGCAAAGAAAAAAAAAAAAAAAAAGCCCCGTAAAACCGTGCCCCCGAATCGCGACCACCCCCCCTTCGGCACCGGGTATTTGTTAAACTGACGTGGCACAGATTTCTCGATTACCGCTGCTGAGCGTGACTGAAAGGCGCCGTGAGAGCCGGCAGGATCCTGCCCACGGCGCTCATTCTTCTCCGGCTTAATTTATGCCACGCGATTCTGTATTGGGGAAATCAAGCAGAAAGCTCCTTTTTCTGCTTTTTTCCCCCCTCTCCCTCTCTCTTTCAGATGCCGGGCTAACGGGGAGACTGTTTAACTTAAGTGTTTCTATAGGAGGCTGTTGTAGTTTAACTCCTGCCCACCAGTAGCTGAGGCGAACAAAGGAGGGACTCGAGGTCTAACTATTCATCCATTCTCTGCACTTTAATTTTCATTGATTTTGAAGACAAGGGGACTCCTTAGGGATTCTCGCTGAAGGGGGATGACACGCCTTTAGACGCGATCAGCCCCCCAGCCAGCCATCTGCTCCCAACCAAATGGCGCTTTTTCGCTCCCAACCGCGTGTCTCCGCACCCCGCTCCCCCGGGCCGCCCCCGCGGAGGTGCGCGCTCGCGGTGAGCAGCGCGGGGGCTGCGCGGTGACACCCCCCCCCCCCTCCCCCCCGGCCGGGAACGGCTGGGTTGCCGCGTTCCCTCGTGGATCGTGCTCCTTTCGGCAAACTCGAGGATGGGAAAAGTCACTTCAAATCGGGGAGGGAGAGCTGAGGATGAAGGCCTCCCCCCGACCCTGCCTTCTTCCCGGGGCGGGGGGGGCCGTGGGCATATGGCGAACGGTGCCTACGTGTGGAGCTATGTGTAGCCGAGTGTGCATAATATTTTAATTAGCCCCCCGGCCCCTACGGAGGCATGCGTGAGGCCACAGCCCCGTGTCACCTGTCCCGGGCATCCCGGTCCTCCCCGGTGCCGGGCGCTGGCATCGCGCTGCCCCGGGCGGTGCTCGGCCGCCGCCGGACCCTGCGCACGGTGCCCCGGGGCCGCGCCTGCCGTGTGCGGGAGGGGATTACGGAGTTCTGCATGTAGGTTAGCCCAAAGTTGCAAAGGCATGTGCTGATTAGAATAAGAATGGGCAGTCGCGTGGCTCAGCTGGCACACAGCGAGGCCAGATGATAGATAAGCAGCTCCGGGCCTTCCCTCCCCCCCAGCCCCCTTTTTCAAATCGCAAATCATCTGCTCCGGCCCTATCCTCGCCCCTCATTTCCATGACAATGGCCGTGTGTTTACCTGTGATCCCAGGACCGGCGGGGCATTCCTTTGTCTCCCGATGCGATTACCACAGCCAGCTGCTCTCCAACCCATCCCCGGGCAAATCCCGAAGTGGCCCCTATATGTGTTTTACCGATGGCACACGAGGAGAAAGTGAGCCCCCCCTTCTTCCCCCCCCCCCACCCCGTTCTCCTGCGCTCCGCGTTTGTTTGGGTTTTCTCCCTGGTTCGTCTCTGACGAGATTTCGCTCGTGGGAAACCGCGAGGGATAAAATTGGCCGCTCGTATGTGTGTGCTTTTCCAAAACGGGACGGATCGGGGTGCACATCCTTTAGGGGTACACGGAGGGAAGCGGGAAGCAGCGCCTGCTGTGAGGCTCCGGGGACCTCATACAGGGCTCCCCGGCTCTTTCCCGTGCCTCAGGCCCTTGGGCTCCCTCCCTAGGAGAGATGCCTTCTCCAGGGTGCCTAGACTGCACGAAAGCCCACTTCCCAGCAACCCACCTATCTGCTGAAATCTCCTGCCTCACTTCTGCAGAAGGGATGTGGGGACAAATCACTGCATCTCCGGGGTCCACTTGGGTGCAGTTCAGTCCTACTGCAACTGCCTTTCTCCTTCTTAACCCCACGCTTGCTCCCCACCCCAGGAACTGGGAACTGTATGAGGAGCACCCACGGTGCCTTCCAATTAGAGGAATAGCCAGGACAAACCTGCAGCCCCCATAGGGCTGGATAAGGCCTTCCCTGGTTCTGAGGCCATGCAATGGGAGGCATGAGCAGGCTGACATCGTGCAGACAGGGAAACTTATAGTACTTCTCAGAAAAGTGCTCTGCACATTGGCAATGAGGCTCTTCTCAGCAGCAGTTCTTAATGCATTCACCATTTCACCTAAGGAAACCCCCTCTTGTCTTTTCACTGGTTTTACTTATCATCATTATAAGCCAGAACCCCAAAGAGTGTCTGCAAAGTGCTCCCCCAGCCCTGCTCCCTGCCTGCAGCCCTGCTCCCTGCGTGCCACTGTACTGTACCATGTTTCATGCATGAGGGGTTTTTCTGTCCCCTGAGGCCCCCATCCCTCACCACCCCCCCCCCCCCCCCCCCCCCCCCCCCCCCCCCCCCGCTCAGTGCACACACTGTGTGCTGGCTGCAGCGCAGAACCTGCTGCTAATAAACCTTGAGGGGGGTAGAGGTGGGAGGAGGGGGGAGCAGAGGGGGCAACAGTTTGGTTGTATGTTTGCAGGGCTCTCTGAGCCACTTCCAATTTGTGTTGTTTTTATTTCTTCCTGCATCTCTGCGCGGGGGAGAGGGCTTTTGCAGAAGGTGATTATGAGGCAGAGGATGGGTACGGATGGGGCGGGCCGTCCTTTTGGAAATGCTCTCCGCTTTTCTTAGAGCATCTGCCCGGAGACGAACAGATGTGGGCACCTGCGGTGACAGGCCACATATGCTCCGTCCTATTCACAGGCATTCAGACACAGCCACAATGGCCAGGCTTTGTGCACGCCGAGCCACCAAATATATTAATCTGCGCTCCCCAGAGCACCGCTCTGGTTAATTTTTCCCTGGCAATAACATCAGATCTCAGCCTTCCTCGCTCCCCTCCTTCGCCTGAGAACATGTGGAGCTATCCAGGCCCCACCTGTTGGCTGCGGGCAGAGGTGGGCATGCAGTGGGGACACGGGGCTCCCCGCGCACCCCAAGCATGGCAAACCCACCCCCACCTCACACAGCCCGCTCCCCCACGGGGTCCCAGAGGTCACTTTGTTGGTCAAAATGGCATCAATCTCAGATGCAAGGCTGGGACTTTATTTTTTTAACCAAATCACTTCGCTGCCCGCCCTTGTCATCGCCCCCTCTAGGGTTTGTTTTGGGGCACAGTGTTTGGGGGACAGCAGGCCCGCGGACGAGTCCGAGACCCTCCCCATACCCCAGGCCGCCATTGTGATGCGAGCGGACCGCTGCAGCCGTCGGACGGCACCGCAGCCTCCGATCCGCAGCTCCTCGGGCCCGGCCCGGCCGCTGCGCGCATGCGCGGCTCCGCCCTGGGAGAAGCGGAAGCGCCTGTTCGGGTCAGTGGTGGGGGCGCCGCGCAGTGCTGGTGGGGCGCTGGGGGGTGAAGGCGAGCGGGGTCCCGCTCCAGGCCGGCAGCATGCCCGCCCGCGGGAAGGGCTCGCTGCGCGGCGGGCTCGCGCCTCGACCGGGTTGCTTACTGTGCCCGGAGAGCGGCGAGGCCACGGGGGGTGGCGGTGCGTGTGAGCGGGAAGTGGTGGGCTGTGCTCCTGGGGCGGAGTGCTGCTGGCTGCCCTGGGCATAGCATGCGTGTAGTAGGTTGGGGGCTGGCAGAGGCCGTGGTGTAAGGATACTCAGAATCTTTGGGCCTATACAGCGCTTAGAGGGAAACTGGCTATTTTGGGTCATGGAGGATTTTTTTATTCCCCTCTAGTTCATGCACTTGGTAGCTTTGCAGCTAAAGTCAACTGAGATGTCTGTCTCACAAAAGTAACAAGCATCCAGCTTTCATTGCACAAAATACGTTTTCCTCTGTTAAGAAACGTAAGCATTCCAACATAAAGTGTTTTAGTCCTACTTTTTCGTGGATTGGACTAGATGATCTCCAGAGGTCCCTTCCAATCCCAGTGATTCTATGATTCCTCCAGTTGTGCTAAGGAATCCCTGACAGAAGCACTCTGGGCAGAATGTTTGCCTTTCCTTTTCAGACACTGAATGAATTAAACGTGGCTCCTCCTTAACGTGGACGTTTCTGTTTAGTGGTGGAACAGGGTGGGTGGAAGAATATAAAATCCTCAATTTTTTTAGTGACTTTTTCAGTAAACGTGTGTGGTCATGTTGAAATGGCAGTAGCGGCTGATATTCTTGCTTATATGGCTGGCTGTTAACTGCCTCTTAATTAAACTAGGTCATTACTGGTCATGGAGATTTTTCTGATAGTGATGATAATAATATCATAGATTTGCATGAGGTCTTAGGAAAGAATATCTTCAGATACAGGTGTTAAAGGTGGGGAAAGTGTCTCTTTCAGTTGCATATGGCATGGTATAGCTTGTAAGTTGTTTACTGTACTTCTTGCTCTAGCTGCATAGCTGCTGGGGACAGAGTCTGCACTGATTCCTAAATTTTTCTTGGACATGATGCGTTACTGCAGAAGTAAGATCTGCTATGGCTTTTTACGTCTCTGCAGTGAGTTTGAAGGGTGAAGATCTTCACACCCATTGCTAGTTCTCCATGGAAAGTGATTAAAAGAGATAACCTTCCAGGACTCAAATCATTCATAATCAGAAGCGTATCTTTCCTGGAAAGCAAATGGCTGGACTGTTAAGGGGTATACGCAGGTATCACTGCAAGGAAGTAGCATCTCAGAGAAAGCAGTGCCCTACCTTGCATACTTGTACAGCAATGTGTGTGATTTATGCATGTTCCTGTGATTTATGCATGTTCCTTTCTGATTCTTCTAACAGTGATGTCTGTTGTATATTTCGAGGTCTTATTACACGTGCATTTGTGTATTTCATCTTGCATTGAAGACTGTGGCATTCAAAAGCTATATCTGAAAGGCATCTAAATATTTAAAACTTCAAGGGAGAAGAACTCAAAAATACCTATAGAAATTTCCAATTGCAATACTTCTGAATTCAACTTTCTCCCTCCCTCCCCCCCCCTTTTTTTTTCTTCTGTATATCACAGACATGTTTATTGCAATCATGGAACTGTTAAAATTGGAAAAGATCATCTAGTCCAACCATCCACCTACCAAT